CCCAGCAACATGTAAGCACACTGGCTGTCCAGGAACATGCAAGCACACTGGCTTCCCAGCAACATGTAAGCACACAGCCTGCCCTGGAACATGTAAGCACACTGGCTGTCCAGGAACATGTAAGCACACTGGCTACCCAGCAACATGTAAGCACACTGGCTGCCCAGGAACATGTAAGCACACTGGCTGCCCAGGAACATGTAAGCACACTGGCTGCCCAGGAACATGTAAGCACACTGGCTGCCCAGGAACATGTAAGCACACTGGCTGCCCAGGAACATGTAAGCACACTGGTTGCCCAGGAACATGTAAGCACACAGCCAGCCCTGGAACGTGTAAACACACAGGCTGCTCAGGAACATGTAAGCACACTGGCTGCCCAGCTACATGTAAGCACACTGGCTGCCCAGCTACATGTAAGCACACTGGCCGCCTAGCAACATGTAAACACACTGGATACTCATGAACATGTAAGCACACAGCCTGCCCTGGAACATGTAAACACACAGGCTGCTCAGGAACATGTAAGCACACAGCCTGCCCAGGAACATGTAAGCACACAGCCTGCCCAGGAACATGTAAGCTCACAGCCTGCCCTGGAACGTGTAAACACACAGGCTGCTCAGGAACATGTAAGCACACAGGCTGACCAGGAACATGTGAGCACACTGGCTGCCCAGGAACATGTGAGCACACTGGCTGCCCAGGAACATGTAAGCACACAGGCTGCTCAGCTACATGTAAGCACACTGGCCGCCTAGCAACATGTAAGCACACTGGATACTCATGAACATGGAGGCACACTGGCTGCCTAGGAACATGGATACAGATTGGCTGCCTAGCAACATGTAAGCACACTGGTTGTCCAGTAACATCAATGCACACTGGCTGCAAAGGAACATGGATGCACACTAGCTGCAGTCACTAAAGGAGTTTGTCATAGACACTGTTGGAGACACAGGTTGTGCTGGACACAAGTAAGCACTAACTACCCATGTAGAACATAGACCCATTATTGAACCTTGACTTAACACTAATAGCGAAACAACAGCACTGTAACACTTTCACCTTAATATAGATTTATGACTGTCCAAATGATATAACTAGGGGTGAAATGATACACCGTTTCATCATGAGTTTTCATGTAGTGATACGAAACACACCTTTTTCAGTACACATGTAAGATGAAACACTTGCTAAAATACTTACTTGCTTGACACCTCAACCCCTTGCATTTTGTCAGCCAAATATCACATAGATGAAATGAAATTCGATTTAAAGTTTAAAAAACCCCAAGAGCTCTGGGCATATGTCAAGAATTAATTCCCTTGGTATCTGCTCTGAAATATTTATATTTAAGTTTCCATGCAATTTGACGTGACTGACTGACTGAGTTTGGTTTTACGACGCATTTAGCAATATTCCAGCAACATCATGGCGGGGGACACCAGAAATGGGCTTCACACATTGTACCCATGTGGGGATTCGAACCCGGGTCTTCGGCGTGATGAGCCAACGCTTTAACCACTAGGCTACCCCACCGCCCACAATTTGACGTGAACAAAGGTATCGTGATATGTATCATATCACAACCCTGATGTATCATTTCACCCCTATTCACAGGGAGACTTACAGCTGTCACAGTGCCATGACTTTATCGTAACGCTTACAGTCCATGATAGACAAATGACTGTTGTGCAGCTAGGAACTAGGGCTGGGACGGGTAACCCAGATAGCCGGGTGGGTGGGTAACGAGTTGGACCTGGGTACCCGGTCTCAATACCCGAACCGTTATGATCATGTGACTAATAGATTAAACAATGTAATATGTTATTCTTACATGATTAACAGGTTGTATTGTCTTTGAAGATTTAGGCATAATTTACAGTCGCTTCTTATGAACTTAATACATGGTTAAGATATTGAAAAACTCCAAATTTTAGCCTCCCAGCTGAAGAATATATTGTCATTTCTTGCAAATTTGATGTCTGGAATTAACATAAGGGTATCTGGTAAGGTAGGGTAATAGGGGGTGGGGTACCCAGGTAGAAAATTTTGACTCGTCCCTGCCCTACTAGGAACGTATCAGAACTCTCACAGTTCAACTGATTTACAACTGTTTTAGGAGTCCTGTGGCTCATTGTACAAAATGACCTTAGGGGCTTGACTATAGTCATCCTGTACTCTAAAACAAACCTATGTTTAGACAGACTAGAAACTAGTCCTGGAGATCTTGAAATATGTTATGCTTTATGTAATTAAGGACATGTTAAGTGTTAAAGTTACACTGAATTATCTCATCTGGTTGGGTTGGTTTGTTGTTTAACACCTCACTCAGGAATATTCTAGCTATGTGAGGACTATCTGTAAATAACTGAGTCTGGACCAGACAATCAAGTGAACAATATCATGAGCATCGTTCTACGCCATTGGGATATGATGACATGTGTCATTCAAGTCAGCAAGGCTGACAGCCCGATCCTGTTAGCCGCCTTTTTCTAATGTAAATTCATTGACATTTTCATCTATGGAAACTGATATGACTTTTCTTACATTTTGACTCTCAGGTCAGTGCCAGGTGACCCACAAACGCTACAAAATAAATACACATCTGGCAAAAGACAAACACTTCTTGTCTTGTAATCACTTTTCTGTGAAAATGAACATACACACAATGCTAGCCCTATCAAAAAATCTACTAGACACACGATAGGGGGCTAGTAAGCAAGTATTAATCTCTCATGCTGCAACCATGAAACCTCATTACGCTGACGGTAAGGGTGAAAGGTCCATATATTTGTATATACAATACAGCACACTGACAAAATACCATGCTCATGATGACCTTCACCTTGACCTTGACCTTTGGAACATGTTAACCAGTAATATCAATGATATTATTCACGCTCCTGACTTTGGCATACACACAAAATATAATAGTTCAACAAAATTACATTAACTTGACTGTCCAAGTTGAGGTAATAAATAACTTTGTTTGGACATATCTTAACCGTGAACCAGTAAAGAAAAGGGCTGTCTACAAGCATGCAGAATGCTGGTACACAATCTCTGTCATAGCTCACAATGCCTCACACATATGTGAGTCTCATGACTTACTGTTTCTGAAATAATGGATCAGCTATTCCATTTAAAGCTGTTTAAATCATTCAATTTGATCCTCCATAAAAGAGAAATGTTCTCACCCTTGACAACCCTACACACAGGCACGGGACTGTCTCAGAAGATTAGAGCTGATCTACAATATAAAGCCAGATTAACTCCAATTTCTTGATTATGGATTTTCTTGAAATTTACCAAATTAGTTGAGACTACGAACATATTGAAATACTGACAGTGGCAAATGGAGATGAATTTCCAATGAAACAAAAATACAAACAAAAATATTTAAAAAAAAGTAATTTTAATATCAAACAATATGTTATGAATTTATTTTACATAGGGAAATTTGAAGAAAGTCCATAAACAAATAATGAGTGGTCGATTTAGGTTTTACACAATACGATGGCAGGTGATAACAGAAATGGCTTCAGACATTATACCAATGTGGGAATCTGAACCCTGGTCTTTGGTGTGATGGGAATACTTTAACCACTAGGTTAACCATCCCTGAATAAACAAAGAAGCCTTAATGTTGAATAGATTATATATCTGATGTCTCAGTGGCTGCATAGATTATATATCTGATGGCCTTCATTCATTCCTGTGGGTGGCTGCTCCTTGTTCTCAAAATCCTTCTGAGATCTCTGTATCATCTCAATCTTTAATTCCATCTCACTGGCCACAAATATCCCCATCTGCTGTCATTCACCTGTCCGTTGGGCGAATACAGCTTTCTAGAAGAAAGGGGGGGGAAGAAGTTTAGTTTTCTCAAGCATAAGGAAATTACCGGGCCTTGCGCGAATGATCACTTTTGAAACAACGGCTGGTTGCACAACTTCATTTTCCAATCACGAACTTGAACCGTGAAAGGGCGTTCAGAGGTTACATGAGTAACCTCTTAATAAACAGCTTTTGAGAAAGGGGTTCAGGACAAGGGACAGGGTGGGGTGGGAGGTGGGGGTTGCGCACCCCTGCACCCCCTTCTGGATCCGCCTATGACCTGATGAAGGTGCAAGAAGCAGCCCAGAAACATCATGTTGTACATAATAATGAAGTTGTAAATTCATACCATACGTTGTTATGCTACCTTCCAACTTCTAAATGCCCATCAAGCATCTCATTCTGAAGCAGTATCTCTGCACAAAAACATTTCATTTGTACCACATACACAGACCTGGTCTGACCATGTCCCATGTAATTATGCATGCAGTATACCTTGGGTGATAAATTAAGCTTCTATTTACAGTTGGATATTCACTTACTAAAACATAACAACACTCTGTATCAATGTCTCTGTCAACACACAACAGTTGAAGCACCTTGTTTCTTCTTCTGCAGGGCTCAGTTAATGGAAGGTGCATATTGACATTTAAAAAAAGTTGCACAAGTTGCACAAAACAAAGAAAGTTGCACGTTGGGTCCCCCAAAAATTGAAACAGTGGCATAATTAGTTTAAATAATTACTATCTTAAATGTCTGCTGACCATGATGAATCTATTAACGTTTGATGAATTTTATATAACGCAGCGCAGTCATAGATCCCTGTCACACTTTTGCATATATCAAGTGCTCATGAGTTCCTTATCAAATAAATTCAATACCCAGCCTGTACGCTCAAAATTGCAAAATCTTTCAATTACTTTGACATATGAGTGACGCACATCTTGCGTATAAATAACAAATTCAGTGCATCCATTGCGTTTGAGGTACGTATGATTTGCGTAACACTATTTTTCTTGCCGCAAATAGCAGCATATGAAGTGCGCCTGCTGAGCGTATTTCGGAGACACATAACTTATGCCGACCTCATGCCTGACGCACTTCCAATGAATGTCAGGCGTATTGATTTATTAAAAAGGCGTCCGTTTCCCGCTGTTTTCGTTACCAGTGCAAATTCCATAGCCTGAACATCAACCTTTTGTCATCATGGGCCGCCGGAGCCATCATATTTATACCAAATCTCAATGCACTGTGCGCATACAGGTGTACATAAAACTTGCACAAAGCGATTGAGATGCATATGAGGTGCATATTGAGCGTACGACTGCGTATGAAAGTAATGTCAATGTGCAACTCATAAGGAATTAGGATACGTAGAGGTGTGACAGGGCCCTTAGCTGACATACTAAGCGTATTAAACAATTGAGTTGTGTGGACATGTAAGGGTTTGTCAGATCAAAACATTTTTTTCTCACTAGCAGTAGCACAAGGTACATGTAGACAAACATAAGGTTTAATTTATTTCAATTATGGTGCAAGTTCAATATCTCAGTCGAACTCTGTAATGGTAGAATCCAGAATTCAATACTTTAGTCACAACATATTAAACACATCCTGTGTAACCATGGTAACCTACAGAACATTAACCCCCATCCCAGCTTGTTGAGGAACATGTGTCTGCTTGCTGTTAGCTGAAGCTGTAAGTTGCACTAGCTGCTAAATGCATCATGCACTATCATGACAAATGCCCTTTATATCTTTGTCTCAGTTCTCAGACAGCCTGCTCCAGTCCTCATAACTGTGTTTTGACGTCTGTCCTGAAACCAGGGACAGAATGACTTTCCCATTAACCTCTGCCTCCTGTTCCTAGAAAATTGACGACCTTCATTTATGTCTGTCACCTAGATGGGAGAGAATGGCAGCCTCCCTTCACCTCTGCCTCCTGTTAGAGGGAAGAGAATGATGACTTCCTTTCAGATCTGTCTTCTGCTAGAGGGGAGAGAATGAAGACTAATTTCAAGTCTGTCTGTTGTTAGAGTAGAGAAATAACAGACTCTTTTCACGTCTGCCTCTGGTCACTGAGAGACTGACAACCTCCTTTCACATCTGCCTCCTGCCACAGAAAAATGAGGACCTCTCTTTGTCACAACAACCTCCCTTTATGTCTTTCTCCTGTCAGAGAGTGATGACCGCTCTTCAAGTAGCTGCCTGTTGCAGGGAGAAACCATTTCATGAGCTTGTTATAGGGAATGGAGACACCCCTTCCTTCAGGAGAGAATGATGACCCTCTTAAAGAAGCCGTCTGCTATAAGGAGAAGCACTCTACATCAATTCATCAGAGAGAGCAATGGCAGACAGCAGAGGAAAACAGCTTTCATACCAGTATGCTCTTGTGACAATCATATTCACTGTTTAATTCATCTTCTCATTCTGAATCAGAGAGCACAATGACCTCCTTGGCCTCCTCTGGGGGTGGTTCTACTTCATACACATCTGGTTCCTCCCCAGTCTCATCGATGTCGATATAGCACTGACTTGACATCTCCATCGCCTGCTTTAGGGGAGTCATTGATGCCTCTTTCTTCACAGGGGGAATGCACTCCCTGTTTGCACTGGTACCGTTAACATTCATGGATCGTACAGGACTAGAAGTGTGTCTTGCTAGAGGAATCTGTTTGTGAGGGGATACTGAGGCTGAAGAAGATACAGAGGAAGATGGTGGTCTGCGGGAGAATGGAGCTGAATGCACTGAATCTTGATTTGGAACTGCTCGCTTGTTTGAACTGTTTTTGAAGGAAGAGTTTTGAGGCAGCATCTGCAGTCTTTTCAATCCTTTATCACTACTGCCCAGCGATGACCACATGAGGACCTTTCCAGTTTGAGGTTTACTTTGAAATTGTTTTTTAACCGCTAATTTGAAAGGTGGCTGGTCACCTTGAGAGTCCAAAAACGAAGGCACATGACTCTCATCATGGACTTGCATGCGGTTCTTCCTGTTTTGATACATGTATGAATCATATGAATCATCAGTTGAATCCTCAACTTCAATAGGCAATGGTGATCTGTGTGCTGACCGACTTGTTACCTGAGTCTGAAGAGTCCCTGAGGGTTGGTTGCTGATGAGGGAGCTGTTTGCAGGGGTCCTGGACATGTGTGGAGGATGGGTGCCAATGGAGAGGGAGTTGCTTCCTGTGGTCCTGGATACCCGTGGTGGAGGGATGCTTGAGGATAGGGAGTTGCCCCCTTGGGTTCTTGACACTCGGGGTATTTGGGTGCTGGTTGATAGGGAGCTACCAGCTTGTGGCCTGGAAACTCGAGGTGGGGGGGTACTAGAAGACTGGAAGCTGACCCCAGCTGGCCTCGACACCCTGGGCGGAGGGGTGCCGGTGGATGGGCTTCCTTGTCTGCCCGGGGACCGGGGTTGTATCATGCTGCCAGATTTGGCCAGCCAGGGTGGGGGTGCCTCTGACGTCTGCGGCCAACACTTGGACACAATGTCAGGACGAGCTGCTGGACCATGAGGTGCTTCATGTTGAGGGGAGGAGGATGGAGATCTGTCTTCAGGGTCAGAGACCAGCTCAATATTTCTCTTCTTTGACCGGGGTTTGATTTTAATCAGATCTTCATTGTCACTTGCAAGGTCTGAAAACAGAAAATGGTTGTACAAGGAAACTTAAGGAAATAAATTCTAATCTGAAAAACCCTATCAATTACATACTCAAATTTATACAACTGGTCCTTTTCATTACCTACTATTCAATGCCTTTGAATTTTCACTGTATCACATCCACAAAAAATTAAGAAGAGTGAATACAATTTCAAGTATAAAAACACTCACTTTAGTCCGTTTGCTGCAAAATTGTACAGATGAAATGGCAAATAAATATACATTCGAAAGCAACAAATATTCTTAAATGGCATGAAAGTTAGTCATTTGTCCATTCCAAATCACCACTATAATTTCAGACACTGGAACGAAGAAGAGGAAAAGTTTTTTTTACCAATGATGGTAAAATCACACATGCTTTGCAAACCCACTACTGTCTTTTCTGTCAAAAGAAATGTCGACATCAGCAGAGTATCTTTCCTTAGTAGTTATATAATGGAATATACAAAGGCCTTAGGGTGTCTGTAAAATATTCTCAAAGCAATTTTAGGAATGTTCTTGGTTCTACTCATCCAACTAATGCTTTCTTTATGCACCTGTCTCAGCAACGTACCTTCATCATTCACCTCCATGACATCCTCATCAGATGCATCTTCCTCATCCAGTCTTTCATCCTCTTCTTCCATTCGTTCATCCTCCTCTGATCCTTCAGGAACTTCCACAGCTTCCTCTCCTGTCTCATACTGCATGTCCGAGAACTTGCGGATCACCTGCCGACAAAACAGTGTACACAATGAGTGAGTGAGTGAGTGAGTGAGTGAGTGAGTGAGTGAGTGAGTGAGTGAGTGAGTGAGTGAGTGAGTGAGTGAGTGAGTGAGTGAGTGAGTGAGTGAGTTTAGGTTTACGCCGCACTCAGCAATATTCCAGCTATATGGCGGCAGTCTGTAAATAATCGAGTCTGGACTAGACAATCCAGTGATCAACAGCATGAGCATCGATCTGGTGAGTGAGTGAGTTTAGTTTTTGGAACCGATGACATATGTGTCAACCAAGTCAGCGAGCCTGACCACCCGATCCCGTTAGTCGCCTTTTACGATACGCATAGTCGCCTTTTATGACAAGAATGGGTTGCTGAAGACCTATTCTACCCCGGATCTTCACGGGTTGAGTGAGTGAGTGAGTGCGTGAGGGCATGTGTGTGTGCATGAGGGCATGAGGGAGGGCGTGAGGCGTGAGGGAGCTAGCTACCAGTGACCAAGCTGGGGTTTTTACACCACTTTTAGTAACATCACATTGGTGGCAAATCATACCTAGGTCTTCAACGAGACGAGCAAATGCTTTAACCACTAAGCTACCCCATCACACCAAAGTAATAATTCTATAAGCTGTTCATGATATATTATATACTATCCATGTTACAGTAGTGTTATTCACAGTCCTCGTTTTACACTATCCACACAAACCAGTATAACACTATCCACTGAATACAGGTCTCAATCAATGTTACCCACAATTCCTTGTTCATAACTACAGTGAAACCTGTCTAAATTGGCACCCCACGGGACCGAAATAAAATGCTGGTTTAGAAAGGGTGCCAGATTAGACAGTGGTCATCCAGGCCTTCTCTGTTTACTGTGACACATGTCACTCACTTGAAAACAGTTAACGCAATCCCCCAGTGTTCATAAAGCATAACCGCAGTAATCCTACGAGCATTTGATTCACCGTGCAATCACTACTTCCTGATTATCCAGCATGCCCAGAAGAGTGTATTGGATTGAGGGGCCTTGATTGGACCTCTCATACCCATGCCGGAATATGGAATAGACAGGTGCCGGATTAGTCAATGTTTTAATGATCATAATATCGTTGCAAAATAGCGGGACCAAAATTTTATGCCGGTTTTGACAGTGTGCCGGATCAGACAGGTGTTGGTGTTGGCAGGTTTCACTGTATCTCTACTCACATTCTCCAGGTTAGTCTTTCCTTTCTGCTGGTTCTCCTCCAGCTTCTGCTTCAGCTCCGCGTTGTACATTGCAGGGTCGTGATTCATACTGAAACACAGGCCACATCAACTCTGACATATCGGACAACACATCAATACAGATACTAAAGCACAGAAGACAATACTGGAGGAACATCACCATGAGATCACTCTGAAGTCTCACTCTCATTGCGCTATCAGACAATTGGATAAGTGGCCATTTCTCTCCCTGCAAGCAGGGTTTTATGCGACATGCGGCCAGTACGCACAAATGTGGAGAATGGATGCAGGAAAAAAATTCACTGCATCCTCAGGGACGCACAATATTATTTATTGTAACCATCCATGACTTTGCTAAGTGTTTGCTCGTTTCTTTCAAAGCAGTTACATGCATCATTTCATCCATCAGTCCACATGATCAATGATTCATTCCAGTCTCTAAAGAAATGATCAAAACATACAGTTCTCTACACCGTTACTGCACAGGACACTCATATTGCCTGCAAGGAACCCTAAAACTAATAATAGAGGGTCCCCAGGACCCCCAAGTTATTGAGTCGGGTAAAACCCTGCTGCAAGCATAGGGTATATGGGGTATATTCTGGTCCGGATGTCTTACAGTGTCAGATGTATCCAACCCTGCAATTACAAGGTGCCTGTGGCCATTCCTAGCTTGGACTCCCCACACTGCAAGTATACAGTGTATGAGCCCTACCAAGGCTGGACTCCCTACAGTGTTAAATATGAACCCTATTCTGGACTGCAATGACTAAGTCTCTTACTCTTCATAGTCTGTCAGTCTGCAGCCAAAGGTTGTGATGTAGTCATCCTGCCGTCGTTGTTGCAGCAGGTTTCCCACGTCAGTGAAGGCCTCACGAGCAACACTTTCTATCTCCTTTTGACTGGGAACAAACAGAAGAACCCTAAATAGTCGGCACAACATCCTGAACAAACTGATGAAACTAGACATGAACTGTTTACTTCATCTTAATGGGTCTTTGAAAGTCAGTGAGTGCATCATGATGCAACTTACTCTTGACAATGATGTCTTTGTTGTTCAATGCCACACTCAGCAATATTCCAGCCATGTGGCAGCGGTCTGAATCGAGTCTGGACCAAACAATCCAGTGATCAACATCATGAGCATCAATCTACTCAATTGGGATATGAGTGAGTGAGTTTAGTTTTACACCGCACTCAGCAATATTCCAGCTATATGGTGGCGGTCTGTAAATAATCGAGTCTGGACTAGACAATCCAGTGATCAACAGCATGAGCATCGATCTGCAGCAATTGGGAACCGATGACATGTGTCAACCAAGTCAGTGAACCTGACCACCCGATCCCGTTAGTCGCCTCTTATGACAAGCATGGGTTGCTGAAGATCAATATTCTAACCCAGGCCTTCACGGGTCAATTGGGATACGATGATATGTGTGAACCAAGTCAGCAAATCTGACCATCCTGTTCCTTTAGTCTCCTCTAACGACAAGCATGGGTTGCTGAAGACTAATTCTAACCCGGATCTTCACAGGTACTCTTGGCAATGAATCTGTGGCACAAACAAATGTCCGATGCTCACCTGAGATGCAGCTTCTGGTTGATGCTGACTTTAGCCACCAGTCTCTTCATGTCATGGAAGTCGGGGAAGACCTTCTTCTTGTTAATCATCTTCTCTATCTTCTTATTGACCTCTGGGTACCTTGTACCTGCAACAATAAACATCCTTAATAGGGATAGGATTCTGTGATGAATTTCATGAAGCAGCAGCGATTTTCAGCTATGTGAATTAGAACAGTCGTAGCATGCTTAACATAAGTCTATCTTAAACTATGGGAATCACATCAGATAAATATCAAATATATTAAATAAATCTGTTAAATGGTCAATTTTTCAACATTCTTAAAACTCAATTTAAATTTTCTTGAACATGTTGACAAGAAGACTTCAATTTGTTTAATTTACTTCAACAGTTTACTTTTTGAAAGATCAGATTTCTACACCTCTGGGCAATTAGTGCATCATTCAGTATAGATGACAAAGATATCAGTGAAGGATGTGTCTCTTATGCTACCACTATCATTACCCTGGTAGTTGAACCTCCTCTCTGTGGGGCGGCCGGTGGAGGGGGTGCGGTCTTTCAGCTCACACAGCTTGTTCCATACAGCCACAAACTTCTTCTTGAGCTTGTCCTCGTAGATGTAGGAGGAGTCTTCCTCAGCCAGGTCATCCAGACTCAGCTCACGTGCCTGGACCTGCTGGATCTTAGTCTCCAGCTTCTACAGACACAGACACAGAGAGTTAGTCTGCAGCTTGGACAAACACAAACACAAGCATATTATAGGAACATCATAGTCCCCAGCTTTTACAGACACAGACACAGAGAGTAACATGTTATAATAATAATAATAGTTCATTTATAAAGAGCATATTTCCATGCACAATGCATGCTCAAAGCGCTGATGTCAGGACGAAAAGGCTTTTTGAAAAGGTGGGTCTTTAGCGATGTTCGAAGGTTGAAAGTTCTGTCATTTCTCTCAAATGTTGTGGGAGATGATTCCATTCTGAGGCTGCAGCATAAGAGAAAGTTCTTTGACCAAATTTAACTGTTCTGACTTTAGGAATACACAGAAGATTATCTCGGAGCCGGGAGGGATCTTGTTGGTTTGTATGGAGAAAGGAGGTCGGACAGATATTGAGGTGCACTTCCAGAGAGACATCTGAAGGCTTAGAATGCAGAGTTTAAAAGTGATGCGCTGAGGAATAGGCAACCAGTGGAGGTCCTTCAACACAGGGGTAATGTGAGCTGACTTGGGTGAGAGAGTGACTATTCTTGCTGACTATTCTGCAGCTTGGACAGACACAAACACAAGCATATTATAGGAACATCATAGTCTCCAGCTTTTACACACACGGACACAGAGAGTAACTTGTTAGTCTGCAGCTTGGACAAACACAAGCATATCATAGGAACATCATAGTCCCCAGCTTTTACACATACAGACACAGAGAGTAACATGGTAGTCTGCAGCTTGGACAGACACAAACACAAGCATATTATAGGAACATCATAGTCTCCAGCTTCTACAGACACAGACACAGAGAGTAACATGGTAGTCTGCAGCTTGGACAGACACAAACACAAGCATATTATAGGAACATCATAGTCCCCAGCTTTTACACACACAGACACAGAGAGTAACATGTTAGTCTGCAGCTTGGACAAACACAAGCATATTATAGGAACATCATAGTCCCCAGCTTTTACACACACAGACACAGAGAGTAACATGTTAGTCTGCAGCTTGGACAAACACAAGCATATTATAGGAACATCATAGTCTCCAGCTTTTACACATACAGACACAGAGAGTAACATGTTAGTCTGCAGCTTGGACAGACACAAGCATATTATAGGAACATCATAGTCTCCAGCTTTTACACATACAGACACAGAGAGTAACATGTTAGTCTGCAGCTTGGACAGACACAAGCACAAGCATATTATAGGAACAGCTTCTACAAACACAGAGGGTAACATTTTGATTTAGTAAAAACATTCGGCTAGATAAATGCGTTATCACATCGTGTCGAGGGAAATACGGGATTTTATCAGTCCCTCGTAAGGTTGTATTCACCGAGCCGGGGAATACAACCTTACTCGGGACTGATAAAACCTGTATTTACCTCAAAACGATGTGATAACTTATAGTGTGTTATAGGAACATCTTAGTCTCCAGCTTGTACAAACATAGAGAGTAACATGTTTGTCAGCAGCTTGGACAGACACAAACACAAGCATATTATAGGAACATCTTAGTCTCCAGCTTCTACATACACAAACATAAGGAGTAACATGTTAGTCTGCAGCTTGGACAAACACAAGTGTGTAACTGTTATAGGAACATCTTAGTCTCCAGCTTCTACAAACATAGAGAGTAACATGTTTGTCAGCAGCTTGGACACACACAAACACAAGCATGTTATATTATAGCATCTTACAGCAGCACTAAACACAAGCATGTTAATAAACACAAGCATGTAAGAATATCTTAGTCTGCAGTTGCTACACACACAATCACAGGAAGTGACATGGATGTCTGCAGCTTGGAAAGACTGAAACACATTCATGTAAGAACATCTTACTTGACAGCTTCTACACACACAAACACTGAGACTGACATGTTTGCAGCTTGACATGTAGGAACATCTTAGTCTGTACAGTCCGTTTGAGTCAGAAACGGACCGATGAATTGCAAATTTTATCATTGTACAAAATTGCCACATAAATAGAAATAGTACACATGTTTATCATTTACTAATACCCAACAGCTTTCTTATATTTGAAAATTTTCCGGACTCCACCAAAAAAGTTGTTTAAGAAACTATCATCATTGAAAACGCAAAAGTTGTTATCTGTCGCGGCGGGGTGAAACTGCAGAAAGGGAACAACCACTATCTCGTCGTGCACGGGATACACATGCCTGATGAAAAATGAAGTTGAATGCTGACGTGAAACAGTTGATGATTAAAGTGTACGATTTTTTCCGTGCTGAAGCTGAAAGGGGCAAACCATTTTATGCCATTAATAAATTCCGTGGCGGGCAGCAAAAGCTTTAGGAGTATCAGCAAGGGTACTGACAAATGTTCTGGAACACAAACATTGTGAGGGTGATCTTGAAGCAGGTAGGGTCGTGTCAAAATCACACAAATTAAAACATTTGGACAACTTTCAAAAGAATGAAGGCGTCTATAAGGCAAGCTCTATTCTGAAAACAAATACATGAAAATTTTAAAAAGCATTTGAAGCAAGAACACAACCTCAGAGTATCAAAGTACACACTCTGGCGACTCTTACACTCTTCGGGTATCGCTATAAGAAAATGTCGGGGAGAATAGGTCAGTACTCTGTGAGCGCCCTGATATCGTTAAGCTTGAGAAATAATTTTCTCAGGGTTATAAAGAAGAATCGCGAGGAAGGGTTTGAGCCAGTGTACTTGGGCGAGACCTGGGTCAATGCCTCGCACATTGCCAGCAGTCAGTGGGTACCAGATGGGGGTGATAAGGGGTCACGTAGTGAAAGCTGCCTGTAGGGAAAGGAGAGAGACTAATCATTCTCCATGCTGGTTGCTCCAGCAAAGGCTTTCTCCCAGGCTGCGACTTGGTATTCAGGGCAAAGTCCACAGATAACAGAGACTACCATTCCGAGATGAATGGTGCGGTTTTCCTCGATTGGGTTAAAAACAAGTTGGTACCAGCTCTACCAGAGAAGTCTTTTATCGTAATGGACAATGCCCCATACCACAGCGTGCAGGACCCTGACAGTAAAGCCCTGACATCGAACAGTCGAAAAGGTGACATGATATCATGGCTTGACAAATTTCAGATCGCCACGGCCTTCAAAGGCAACAAAGCCTCAGCTATATGAGATCATAAAACCCACAAAGGTGAACCTTTCTACAAAGTTGACAGTTACATAAAAGTAAGGGTCACGATATTCTCGCGACTTCCACCCTATCACTGTGACCTTAACCCCATTGAAATGATATAGGGTATTGTCAAAGGAGATGTTGCCAGATCAAACACAACTTTTAAATTACGTGACGTAGAGGTTTTGGTTCAGGAATCCCTTAACAAAATCCGCGACTGAAACTTGGCAAAACTGTGTCAACAAGGTAGCTAACGTCATTGAACAAGGTTACTGGTCTCGGGATGGCTTACAACAGGCAACTGTGGCACCACTTGTCATCCCTTTAAGTCGTTGACTATGACACTACGACGGACGAGGAACCGACAGGTCTCCCGGAATAGATTTTGAGATGTCCCCTGCCATGACTGGCTGTTCCCTTTCTGCGGTTTCACCCTGCCGCGACAGATAACAACTTTTGCATTTTCAATGATAATAGTTTCTTAAACAACTTTTTTGGTGGAGTCGGAAAATTTTCAAATATAAGAAAGCTGTTGGGTATTAGTAAATGATAAACATGTGTACTATTTATATTTATGTGGCAATTTTGTACAATGATAAAATTTGCAATTCATCGGTCTGTTTCTGACTCAAACGGACTGTAGTTTCACATACACAAACACAAACACAGAGAGTAACATGTTTGTCTGAAGCTTGGACAAAACAAACATATCATTGTAGTCCACAGCTTCTACACACACAAACAGAAACATCCTAGTCTACAGCTTCTACACACTTGCACAAACATATTGTACCATCATATTGTACACACTGTCTGCCACTTCTACGAATACACATACACACAACATCATCTCACTCTACAACCACCTTAACTAGAAATAACATGCATACTAACAAGTGAAATACAACAAAGAATCCGGCATCAATAATTTCTGCTGGCTACGAGTCAGAAGAAGACCAGTACTAGCGAATGCACCTACCTCCAGGAGCTTCTCCAAGCGATGGATGTGTTTCTCAGACACTTCCTTTTTCTTCTCCGGTTGTGCCCTTTTCTTCTCTTGCTCTTCCCTTTTCTTCTCCGGTTCAGCCCTTTTCTTCTCTGGCTCTTCCCTTTTCTTCTCCGGTTCAGCCCTTTTCTTCTCCGGTTCAGCCCTTTTCTTCTCCGGTTCCTCCTTTTTCTTCACTGGTTCTTCTTTCTTCTTTTCCTCACCTCTTCCTACAGCAGATCCCTGAGATGTTGAACCAGTAGTCTGGTTGGTCCTGAGTGAGTCACAATGTTCGGATGTCACATCACAAGGTGAGTCACAATGCTCAGACGTCACATCACAGTCATCCGTTGGTAAGTCACTATGCTCTGCAATGATAACAGGTGAGTCGCATTGCTCAGACATGACATCAGTTGGTGAGTCACCATGTTCAGTGATAACAACTGACATGTCTTTGTCCTCAGACATGACATCAGTTCGTGAGTCCCCATGTTCTGCAGTGATCACAACTGACATGTCTTTGTCCTCAGACATGACATCAGTTGGTAGGTCGCCATGTTCTGCAGTGACAACAAAGGGTGAATCACACTGCTCAGACATGACATCAGTTGGTGAGTCCCTCTGTTCTGCAGTGATGACAACTGACATGTCTCTATGCTCAGATGTCTCACCACTGGGTGACTCACAATGATCAGACATGACATCAGTTGGTGAGTCTGCAGTGATAACAGGCAAGTCACTATGTTCTGAGGTATCACCACTGGATAAGTTACAAGGCTTTGAGGTTCTCAAAACAGAAGGTTCACCAGATCCACCAGTAATGACAGGGGCTGAATCAGCAGTAATACCAGAAGTACCTGGTGACCCTTCTGTGGCTGAAGTAGCATGAGCATCTTCTTCAGCTGCTGGTGAAGGGATGCTTGTGTTGATAGGCGAGGTGTTCAATGATGTAGCTGCAGGAGGACTGGTCCCAGGCAAGGCAGTACTCTCAGATGATGATTCTTGTGATTCAGGTATAGAAATCTCCATGTCTTTCCCACCTGGTGAATGTTCATGTGTATCACATGTCTCTACAGACGGAGAAGTTCTCTCTGTTGAGCTCATCTTTGGTTTTTCATCCTCCTCATTATCAGCACAGTCAGATTTCATATCAGGCTTTAAGTCTGAATCTTTTTCTGAATCGGAGATCATTTCTACATCTAAATCTGTTTTTGAGATCATGGGTGAACCTGAATCATTTCCTGAATTAACTGAAGGATGTTGATCATTATTTGAATGGTCCCCATCAACTGCAGATGGCGACCTGGAACTGTCTGTAGCAGCTGACTGGTCACCTGTAACAACATCTTTAGTGGATTCTGTTCCATTTGTAGCAGAAGAAATACCAGCATTGTTAGCATCAGGAGTCAGGGGTCGAAAGCCAATTGAGGTCCCTAGATGCGGAAAGAGACAGTTTACTGAACCCTGGCTGGCTTACTGTTAACTCCACTTAATGCTGAATCAGAACCTGATAACTTCAAGTCATCTTTCGAATTTACATCAGTGTTGGCACTTTTTACATCAGTGTTGGCACTTGCTGCTTCTAGTGAATCTGTACTTTGATGTGGTGGACTGTCATCAATCAGAATACAATCATCATCATCGTCATCATTATCCAACACTGCTCTCTCTGCTTTGCCTGATTCAGGCAGCTCCAATTTCTTCTCACCTTCAGATTTCAGATCTCCATCTGTGTTGGTCGTACATCCATTACCGACACTGTCTCCCTTGCTGACAACAGTGTCTTCACACAAAGCATCACCACCGCCTTTCTTATCCTTCAGATTTCTGATAATGTCTGCAAGCTTTGATGAGCATGCTGAGTTAGGAGATATCTTAAGCTTGCTTTCCCGCTGTTTGTCTTTAAGTTTGGAATCCTGCAGAGAATCATCTCTGGCTTGTTTTGAGGGCTCCCCAGGTACTGGAGAAGATGTCAGCGATCGGCTCTTAGTGTTCTTGTCCTCCTTATCTCGGAATTCTCCATTTGAAGTTTTGGTCCTTTTCCACACAGTGTCATCCGAGTCATACTCAGATCGGTGTTTCCGTTTTCTCCCTTCCTGCCCTTGGCGTAAGCCTTCAGCTCATTCAAGCAGTCCTTGAGATGGACAAACAGGTGCCTGCTGTCAGACTCCATCTTCTTTCTGCAGCTTGACAGTAGATGGTACAGCTCCTGGGTGCCCTTGAACTTGTCGGAGCACTCATCATAGCGTTTCTTCACCAGATTGATCAGCTGCTTGCTGGGACCACTCAGGGACTTCTCGCAGAAACAGAGGAACTAAAACAAGAGTGAGCAAATGAGTTGGCTTTACTGGCTGATTTAACAGCATTTCAGCTACTAGTATATCATGTAAAATAATGCAGCATAATGTGAAAGGAAGCCAAAAGTAAAGCATGTTTTTGACATTTTCCACTATGGAGAAACTCACAAGTAAAGCTATGGTACAGTCCATTTGAGTCAGAAACGGACCGATGAATTGTAAATTTTATCATTGTACAAAATTGCCACATAAATATAAATAGTACGCATGTTTATCACTTACTAATACCCAACAGCTTTCTTATATTTGAAAATTTTCCGGACTCCACCAAAAAAGTTCTTTAAGAAATTATCATTAAAATTTTGACACAGTTCACTATTTGTTACGAGGGAGGAGTGCAGAGAAAGGGACAGCCAGGTGTTAGAGAAGCACGTGCACAAGTGCCCACCAAGTTATTGATTCATTAGCCTGTGCTGTGCCGTCTCCATCCTTTCTCGCACACCTGGCTGTCCCTTTCTCTGCACTCCTCCCTCGTAACAAATAGTGAACTGTGTCAAAATTTTAATGATAGTTTCTTAAAGAACTTTTTTGGTGGAGTCTGGAAAATTTTCAAATATAAGAAAGCTGTTGGGTATTAGTAAATGATAAACATGTGTACTATTTCTATTTATGTGGCAATTTTGTACAATGATAAAATTTGCAATTCATCGGTCTGTTTCTGACTCAAACGGACTGTAGTGATCTTTTAAGAACAATCATAATCAAGTCCAGAACCTGTGACCATCAGATCTTGGAGCATGTAACAGATACAATAATAATTACAAACAAATCCACTAAACAATTAGTGACATGTGCATTCATGACTTTTACTGAAGTGGAATTCATGTATATTCAAAAATAAAGATCTGTTAAGAAAGGCAAACATGCATGCTACAAGAATAATTATACTAAATGTTGGTAGTCTACTAGGTGCCTTCATATTTATATCATGTATATGGAAGCAGCTCAAAATTGATTTGGTACTGAAGATTTATTCTGCATATTTTATGCAAATATGCAGCTTATCTGGAACCCTCAATAGTCAAGAGGGATTAGAAACCTAGAACTGTTTAGTCTGTTTTAAAATGTTCCATGAATTTTTCACAGGTTGTTCAAAAGAAACCAAAACCTGACAAAAATTGATGATTTGGAGATTCATTTGTTACATACTTTATCATATTAATAATTCCCCAAATAAAAACTGAAAAAATACATTATCACCCTTATATCCTCACCATGCTTAATAAACATTCTATGAAATCTATGAAAACCATTTAAATTGTTAGATGTAAGGTGTTTTCATGTCAAATTATCAGATCAGTTAAACAGATTGAAAATTGGACACATAAGTGACCCATGGCCTCGTAACAGGGTCAAGATGTGCTAAAACTGGTTATAGGTCTCACCTTGGCAAACTCTTCTTCTGTGTCAGACATGATTCCTCTTAAGTTCGATTATTTCATTCTGCAATACTTGCACCTCACTGGAACTAGAAACAGGTCAATGTTATTAAAATAATTCCTAGAAAGTGAGGTAAAATGGGGTTTAACGCCGTACTTAAGAATATTTCGCTCATATGATGATGTGTATGGCTGCTTGTACTAGCCTACACTTAAGCTGGTTTATAGTGCTAGTTCACTGAGATACCATGCCTCAGTTAAGCATAAATACCCCACTCAAACACATTATGCTGACTCCGAGCTGACCAGTCCATGTTGTACCCATTTATGCCGAGCGCCAGGCAGGGACCAACATGTTTCATATTTTAACTTGTTTTGGTATGACACTGCTAGGGAGAACCTGAGACCTTCCGCTCTCCTGGCGGATGCTCTAACCACTACACCACGGAGGCGGTCTGCCTGATGATAGACATTGTCAGTCACATGTTCTACAACTCCAACCCACATGGGTACAATGTGTGAAGCCCATTTCTGGTGTCCCCTGCTGTGATATTGCAGGAATATTGCTAAAAGCATGGTAAAACCATATCCACTCACCACACCAAAGCCAGAGTCTAGCAACAATAAATTTGTTACACAAAAAGCTTAGTTATCAATATTCGATATATTTGATTAAATAATGTATGTAGACAGTCTAGTCACAATGAGCTTGGCACATCTTTCTTGCTTGGAATGTGGTAATCTTCTAAGAGACAATGAACACATGGGTGTTATGAAACCGTCTGGTGTGTGCAGCTCGTTAGTTTTCACAAGGCTGGGATAGTGCTGAAAGTGAGGTAAAGTACTATAACCATACAGACTCACTCAATCTGTCACAATGATCTCAGGGCGGTGAGGTAGTCTAGTGGTTAAAACGTTCGCTTGTCACGCTGAAGACCTGGATTTGATTCCCTACATGGGTACAATGTGTGAAGCCCACTTCTAGTCATCCTCGATAATCTCCAGGGTATACGTTATGATCACTCTCCACTATACCCTGGATGCATCCACGGCTTGGGGGCGATGATTTTATTACCTCCCTTGGCTGGCTTTTTATCCAATCAATCTGCCTACGCTGGGAAGTTGAGTTAACCAATCACAACTCACTTTCGCTACTCAAATTATCTAACCGTTTAAACTTGGCAACACAATTGAGGCAGAGGTACTCTGAAAGAAGTAGAAGGAGTTCTTTCATATAGTTTTTAAGTTTCACATCTGTGAATTTGTCTTTATTATTTCCCAAAATATCTGTGTGGCACTGCGAACAAACTTTCGCGACTGTGACCGCTATCTTTGACACTGGCAAGCTCAGCTGTAACGGCGGCTTAGCTGATTGGCTACTGTGAGAATGCGGAGCCAGCCAAGGGAGGTAATAAAATCATCGCCCCAAGCCGTGGATGCATCCAGGGTATAGTGGAGAGTGATCGTAACGTATACCCTGGAGATTATCGAGGATGACTTCTAGTGTTCACCTCAGTGATATTGCTAGAATATTAGCAGAATAAAACTAAACGCACTCACTCACAATGCTCTCAAGGTGAAGGGTCTTGATGGAGTGAGTGAGTTGTGTTATACGACTTCGGTGAAACTAGGAACCATTGGGTCTAGTGCTAACCAACCTAGAAACAGAATGCAACTACCTCTGGAATTCAAGCCCTTGTTTTCTGGCATGCCAAAGGTACATGATATGTGGCTCCTTGAATGAAAAATGGTGGCTCACATATATCACAAAGTACCTCTGAATTTCATTACAAAATAACGTAATAAATTGAATAAACAATCATAAATCTTATGATTATATTGTGTACATGATGTAACTAGCTACATATGTCAAATAGTATTCTTAATGATTGTTTGTTGGCCGAACAGACACAGTCACATTTGCTTTTCAAATCTCATAATTGTTCTTGTTAGGTCTTTCCCAAAGAAGTCTGTGTCCATTAACATGTGTTTTAAGCATTTAAGCAAACAGGGAGAAGTTGACTTTACCAGCTGCACATATTTTTATCTAAGTTAGTGATGCCTGCAGGAATCAATCTCATGTTGCCAGCTTGAACCTATGCTTGGCTAATGAACTAGTTCAAAACTACCCTTGCGCCATGGGGATTCATGGTATTAAGAAATTACGACTATGAAAACAATCAATGATATTGTCAAGTCATATAAACATTACACGGTGTTAGATAACATAAATTTGTATCATTTAATGTCAATAAAACACTTTTGTCATTCTGAAGTTCATTGTTGTCCGTATCAGATGACAGGCGGCCATTGTGCACAAACTCTGGTGACGTCATATGTTTCCGTGGTATTCCCTAAAGATCAAGTTACGGGCGAACAGCACATGTCACAATCTCCCACGTTTTCAACAGCCAATCCGGAAGTGTCAATGTAGGTTTACAGAAATAACGAAGGTGATAAATTGTAATACAGTCAACGATTTTATAGAATTAACACAATAGTCACATTTCTTCAGCATAAATTTCCAGTTTACAAAATATGTAGAGTTGATCAATGGAATACGTGAAATGAAAAGTGAAAAAAAAACGACTGAAGAGATGACCCTATCGGGCTTCCTTTGTTAAAAAAATTGAGCAGGGATTCCCCCCATAGGTCATGTGATTATTTTTATTGATTACATCAGCTAGCAGACGAGCGATGTTTGGAAAACTTGGAAGCTGAATGAGTTTATAGAAAATGTTTGTAAAGATCTCACAAAAAGTGCATTACATGCTAGACATAAAGTTACATTAGTTTTTAATAGTAGATGACTGTACGTAAGCAAATTGATAAAAGTCTGAACATTTCTTGCTCAAAGCCGTGCCAGATCGACTGATGAACGTAAACAATTGATAGGTGGCGCGATTTGGGTAGAGGATTGTTAGAAATTATGTCATTAGAAAATACCACGGAAACGTAAGTACCAGGAATCATATGACGGCATGGTATATGCAGTCACCTGGATCATGTGAATGTTTGCCTTTGTGCACAAACCTTTCTGTTAAATTCGAGACTTCATACAAACTGTGGTGCGTTTCTTCAATTTCATCAGGTTAAGATAGCTAACCCACAGCCCTACCTCAAAACTAACCCTAAGGTGAGTGAGTTAAAATTCCTAACACCGGGCTCCTAACCATAAGACTTAGGGTAAGGATCGTGATGGGGCGTTTGATCCGAAAACGGTACTTAGCCCTAGTGATCATAAAGGGGTGCTTGATGGGAACTGAGAGCAATGGCTAAGGACACATTAGGACGTAACCTTCCTAATCCCTAAAAAAATAATCCTAAGGATCGAAGAGAGATCTGTGACGCAAGAATCACTACCGGCAATCTGAGCCGATTAGCGTCACGTGTAAGCTGCGTCTAATAAATTGCATTACTGACAACAAACACAAAACATTGTACACAGTATGCCAGAAAACGTTATAATGGGTTAATCATATAGTACTGTATTTCACAGGCTGCGCCACGATTTCTTTTCCTTCTCCAGCTGCGGGATGATCATCGTTTGGAGATGAGATGTGATCTCCCTCGATAGCTCTGGAGTTAATTAGCCTAATATGCCAAATTAAGAGCAGTGGAATCAAATCATTAGTTACGAGACTGGTAAAATTGTAGGTTAAGATTCATAATATTACTAATAAAAACAACTTACGCCAATGATTTACCGTAAAGAATCACAAAGGATGGACCATTTCAAAAGGTTTCAGCGTTACCTTCCAAGTTACCCCCCTTTGGCGGAATTAATTATCTCCCTTACTTGAATAGATGGCGCTCGCATCAGTTAATCTCTGAACTGGGTCTGTTGTCGCAATGCGCAGACAACTTACTGCGTAAAATGCTTTCTAAAATAGACGGTAGCCTTGCAGAAATCGGATCGCATACGTGGGACTTCCACGGTCAGAAGAGCCGAGGTTTTCCGAGTGGACAAGCACTTGCCACATCAACATGGAGGCCGTTTACAGTTTACCGTACACCTTTTTGCAGTGCCCAAATATCAAATTGAAGAAACCATCATGGTTCAAACAGCCTTCTGCTATGATGGTGTTTGCATTAGTTCTTCTTTCATATTTCCTTGTCACAGGAGGTGAGCATTCCGGTTGCATCGTCTGATATTCCGAATTATTTCAACCACGTTACCATCCAAAAAATTCAGATTATAGTTATGTACGCTACATGACTGACATTTGTTTATTGTTGCAGGAATCATATATGATGTTATCGTTGAGCCTCCAAGTATAGGATCTACGACAGATGACAGGGGAAATACCAAACCCGTGAGTAGGATAAAAGACCTAATAAAGTAAAATTTTACGTTATGAAGACTGGGAAGGGCGTTTTGAAATGACGATGCTCCCCCATTCCTTTAATCTACTTTTTCCGTCTGAGTTTCATTTCTCATCACGTCACAAAAGACTTTTTGAAGTTACTTTACGGTAGGAATATGATATCAAGGAAATATTTATGTTCGGCAGTTAAATACAAGGGGTTAGATCTAAGCCTCTAATATGATTTTATGTTTGTAGTAAATTGTACAACGTCCCAGTGTCTTTATACCCATTTGATTGGGCCCTGAATTCCACAGGTGGTGGGGTAGCCCAGTGGTTTAAGTGTCCAACACATCACGCTGAAGACCTGGGTTCGATTCTCTACATGGGTATAAAGTGTGAAGCCCATTTCTGGTGTCCCCAGTCGTGATATTGCTGGAATATTGCTAAAAGCGGCGTAAAACTAAACTCACTCACCCCAAAATACACTTACACAAACATTTCATTTGGGACTTATTTCTAAATTGTTGATCAATGTTGATCTTTTGAGATTCGTTTGCCCTGTGAAAGTGATTAGTTGGCTTTAGCAAAGTTTAGGACACAAAATCCCCTGCTTAATCCCCTGTATAAAGTCTAACATTATGGATAACAATTCATTCAAACCACAGATAATGTGATTCCTCATCTTGGAAGTGAACACTTCTGAAAGCATCACTATTTTCATGGTATTAATGTTGCTATTTGATTGCTGCAAACAGAAAAGTTATGATAGATAGGGCTGGACTAATTGTCATCAGCAACCTATTCTTGTCATAATAATTGACAAACATGATTAGGTGATAGGGTTTGCTGACATGATATATGCATAGATCAATGCTGATGATGTCAATCTGTGGATTGCCTGGTCCAGACCGCCATCATAGCTGGAATATTGCTGAATGTGATGTTAGGTGACAAACAAGACACAGGCAACAATTTCGAATTAATAAATGCTCTTTGCAAACTCATTTTGATATTCTGAATACAAATTGCAATATTCCACATTAATGTGGACCGCCTCTGTGGTGTAGTGGTTAGAGCGTCCGCCCGGAGAGCAGAAGGTCGCAGGTTTGATCCCCGACCGCGTCATACCAAAAGACGTTAAAATATGGTACTTGTTGGTCCCTGCCTGGCTCTCGACATTAATGGATACAACAAGGATTGGTCGGCTCAGAGTCAGTATAATGTGTCTGAGTGGGATATTCATCATTTATGCTTTACTGCGGCATGGTATCTCAGTGGGCTAGCACTATAAAACCAGCTTAAGTCTGGGCTAGTACAAGCAGCCACACATACACACACACACGCATGCACGTCGTCATATGAGCGAAATATTCTCAAGCACGACGTTAAACCCAGTTTCACTTCATCTCACATTAATGTGATAAGTTGTACATTGGATGTTTGTCTATTACCACATGATTATGTGACATTTGAACACTTACTTTGGGATTCCTTATCAGTTGAAGTTGATAGTATGATACTCTTTTCAAGTTACGCGAATTGTAAATGTCTGAGATGAACTATTCATCAATTATATAGTACATTGCATACAGTGATCTGCTTTAGGTGGGCTGGCTTGTAACAACTTGTGTAGTTCAATGTCAGTTAGGATGTTATGTCAGTTGTCTCGTTAATCCTACATGATCAGCTGACATCTCATTAAACAGTGGCAGTAATTATTTGCTTCCCAGCATCTTGTCAGTGATGGGCTTTCAACCAGAGGAAAAATATTGACCTCGTTAGTATGAAAAGTAATTATGCTGGATGAATCAGCATGTTATCTGATTTTAAATCCAATTTAGTCCAAAGCCAAGCCACTGTTGGAAATTAATTGATATTTGGCCCTTATGTGGGATAAATGAAGGACAAAGATTTGGAGCATATATCAAAATAACAATTTTCTGACTGATTTGTAACATGTTCCCCATCCAAGTATGAATGAAACTTAACATTTCACACAAAACGTGAACATACAATAATATGATCTGGTTTCAACAAACAGGAGAAAATTGACCCAGAGACGTGAAATCGATCATTCTGTGTTGTGGTGAACCACCTGGTGATTCACTTTGTTGAAATTATCATTGTGTGCCTCACAACCAGTGTGAAAATACAGGTCACCTTAGGCCTAAAAAAAAAAAAGGCTTGTGGCTCCGATTTCCCGACTGACCCTTAATATTCCCACCGAGCCTAACAATTTTACTCACCACATAATAAATTAAATTTATTTTCTGACACATGAGTAATGTAAAAATATTTTGCAAAAAAACAAAACAAACCCTACCTACCTACCCTAGTTCTGAAATGTAGGAAATCGGGACCACAACATTTTAATTTTTTTTGGCCTTAAAATAAACATACAATTGGATTCATAAGTAAGCTGGTGCAGAATAAGCAAAGATAAAAGGTCCCACCCCCAAACCAGTTGACTAATTGTGTAAATGTCATGAACTATCACAATCTGATCATGCCGATTACAATTTTAATCATGGACTGTAATTTTGCATTTGTAAATAATATATATTCCATTATAATGTGTAGGTAACATGATTCTTGGTTGTTGTTTTTTAAGGTGCCATGGCTGTCTCGTAATATTGTTGGTTTCCTATCACCTGCTAATTACAATATTAATCATGGACTGTAATTTTGCATTTGAGTATGATTGTTGGTTTTTTGTGCCATATATTGTTGGTTTCTTCAGAGAAACAGATTTGAAGTTTGTTCTAAAACAGATTCAGTGTGGTGTAACTGAAAGATGGCTTAAGCCCAATGCTACACTCTGCTTAAGGCAAGGTTTAATGTGATAGAAATGGTAATCCTTGTGGGTTAACGTGATGTGTAATTCCTGTGTATTTGATTCAACGATTTTGTTAAAGAATACCAAAATATTTTTATGCGAGTCATGCAGTAGTTTTCTAGATAAGTTTACCTACAGGTAGAGAATAAAATGTAGTGTTACTGTAGTGAGTGTAACAGGTGATGTGAGTTACTTGGTACAGTTACTGAGTGTCACTGTTTGAGCTTGTAGCTAGTACCAGATTTGCTTGAAGTTGTAAAAATACGTAAAAGTATTATAAGGAAAATCACTGGTGTATTTCACCATTTCATTATATTCAGGATTGTTATAAATGAATTGATTTGAAAATATATATAAGTAAATGTGCACTGGATCAGATGACTAACAGCAGAGGACACTATCCCAAAATGTGCTTTTACAGCCCTTGCTTTATATAGTATTAATACAGAATTATTTTATTGACAGAATATTTTCATGACACACAAATTTAGAAGACATTAACATTCACTGTGAATCGCCATGACTCCAAGTTTTTTAAGTCCATGTAAACATGGTAAAACCCTGAATCTTCAATCTCTTTCATGGCTTTACTGTATAATAGGGCTGTGTGTTAGCAAGTAAATTGTATTTCAATATATTGCGGTTCTGGTACCCATATTGCCATAAACAGGGTGTTTAGTGTTTGACTGTGACACTGATTGTACATGCAGAGCCTATTTTCTACATACAAAAGCCTTATAAATATGTTGTTATGGTTCTGAATATTGCAATCTCAAAACTAGGTTGGATGGTTAGGGGTTCTATATTCATTTTCATACAATTTATCGCATGTAAAACATGCCATTCTGTCAATTCATTACGAAGAGAACAACAGTCAGTGTGGATTCATAAAGTAAACCTTAAAGATCATCAACACTTCACATATTTTTGTACCCAATATACCGGTTTGCAGATATTTATCATCCAAAACTGTGTTCCACTGGAGAAATTGCTTGTGTGAGATCAAATGATACCTCCAAAGAGATATCATTTTTACAGAAGATTTTGTACAATGCCCTGACGTCATCAATTACATGAGATCACAATGCTTTGACATAATCAGTTACATGGCTCACAATGCTATGACGTCAAAAAACCGATGACATCATAAACTTTATGACATCACTGCACTGCAAGTCTAATGGCAGTACTGTGTTCCACTTCCAGGGTACATTTTTCATTGAAAACTAATGAAGAGTGATATTTTATGATAAATAGAATCTCACCCTCGTGTCTTCTGATATCAAATATATCAACACTTGTTGATAAAAGTAAAAGGCCTCGGATATTTTTAACTTTATCAACTCATGTTGATATAATTGATATCAGTAGACACTTGGGTGAGATTGTCTACGAATCGTTTGGAAACCTATTGCGGTATACACGTAATACCATGTAGTCCTACTGTATAATCACATCTATTTCAGGTTGCCTTCATGCCATACAGAATCAACGGGCAGTACATCATGGAAGGCTTAGCCTCCAGCTTCCTGTTTACTCTCGGTGGTCTGGGCTTCGTAATTCTCGACCAGACCAACAAGCCGTCCATGCCGCGGCTGAACCGAGTCCTGCTGCTCAGTGTTGGCTTTATCGCCATCCTCATCTCTTTCTTCATGTGCCGAGTGTTCATGAGGATCAAGGTTCCGTAAGTAGTCTAGAAGTCTTATCTCACATTAGCATGGGTTGCTTGGATTGTTGTTTAATATTTAACGCAGCACTCTGGTCTGTACATAATTGAGTCTGGCCCAGTCAATCCAGTGATCAAGAGTATGAGCATTGATCTACACAATTGGGATACGATGACGTGTCAAGTCAGCGACTGGTTGGTTGCCTCTCAGGATAATCATGGAGGCGAGATGGATAAAACCCTTTATCCAGCCTCGTGTAAGAATGTCGAGTTTTGATTGGTTCACGTGACTCTGATAAAATACCATGTACACCTGTCATGATCCGCGAGCAGGGAGTACAAAAGTCATATTATCCCGCCACGCCTCGGTGACTTTTAGTAACGATCTTCTGCAATCGATCAATCGATCAGCTGTTGTCAACATGGCAGCAAGGAAACGTTTTGCCACAACTGAGAATGAAATTGATTCGATGCGTATTGTTTTCTTTTGATTTAGTAAAAACATTCGGCTAGATAAATGCGTTATCACATCGTGTCGAGGGAAATACAGGGTTTTATCAGTCCCGAGTAAGGTTGTATTCTCGAGCTGGACTCGGGACTGATAAACCCCGTATTTCCCTCGACGCGATGTGATAACTTATATATCCCTCTTTATAATGCTACAAGTTATGGTGTACCTGACTGGTATGTATTTCTGTTTCAGTGGCTACTTGATGTCTTAGGCAGCTCCATCTGTGACAAAGAACATCGTCTACATCATATGCACTTAGCTGTCTGTATACATTTACATTTAAAAATAAACTATTTTTATTTGTTTCATAAACTTGTTTATTTGTTCCATGGTCAGAGATGCACCTTATGGCTGAAGGAAAATATGGTTTAATGCCTCTTTAAGCAATATTCTAGCAATATCTCAGTGATCACCAGAGATGGGCTTAACACATTGTACGCATGAAGGGAATTAAACCCAGGTTTCGACGTCATGAGTGAACTAATAGGTTACCCCACCACTCCCAATGGATCAGGTGAGGTGAGGTGAAATTGGGTTTAACGTCGTTCATGGTGCATATGTGTGTATGTGTATGTGTGCGCTGCTTGTACTAGCCCAGACTAAAGCTGGTTTTATAGTGCTAGCCCACTGAGATACCATGCCGCAGTGAAGCATGAATACCCCACTCAGACACAGTATACTGACTCTGAGCCGACCAGTCTATGTTGTACCCATTAATGCCGAACGCCAGGCAGGGACCAACAAGTACCATATTTTAACGTCTTTTGGTGTGACGCGATGGTGGGGATCGAACCCGACCTTCCGGTCTCCGGGCGGACGCTCTAACCACTTCACCACGGAAGCGGTCCCCAATGGATGAAGTGGTGCACATCTTGTTGCTTGGTAGAAATATTTTCCATGGTCTAATTGATGGAAGAAAATGTTAGACGTTCATTCCATGGAGGCGCCATACCAAAGGACATAAACTAATGGCACTTGTTGTTGCCCTGCCTGAATGGGGTATAATAATTAAAGCGTCACTTGTCAGCTGAAGACCAGAGTTTCATTCTCCACATATATACAGTGTGTGAACCCGTTTATGGTGTCCCTCGCAGTGATATTGATGAAATATTGCTCAAAGCGGTCTAAAACCAAACTCACTTGACACAAAGGAGATAAGAGAGGGACTGGTTGGCTCAATTATCCATGCAGCATGATGTCGATGGGCTGTCGAAGGTTTACGACTTGCTGATACAATAAGTGTCAGAGCAAACAGGGTAGTGCTACTGCACACAGCTATGAAACAAAAACATGACAGTACATGCCACTTAAGCAGGGCTCCAGATAATTTTTCAACATCAGGAGTATGTACTCCTTATTTTTATCAATATAGGAGTACTGGATAAACTTAATACATTTTGAGTACTGAATGGAATTTAATGGAGTATCAGTAATCTTGTGTTTCGTTTCATATATGCACTACAACATTGCTAGTCTTGTGTAAACAGGTCAAACAATAAAACAATACTCTTTCACATAAATACGTCTGTAAATGATTCCAAGACCGTTTACAGCATTGCTGTGCATATTTTTATTTTCTAAATTATTTCCCTACCGCGATCGTGCATATTTTTATTCATTACATCTGGAGCCCTGCTTAAGTATTATTGGAGAATACATACCATGGACAAGTGACATCTGTATCGAACATTGTTGTTCACCTGATATGAAAAACAATGAACTGAAAACAATAACTGTCCACAATACAAGGTGTCACATTAACAAGGTGTCCTTACATTACCAACAATTCCATGGTGCAAGCCATTCTTAAATACAAGCTGTCCACACTAACAATGTCTAATTTTATTGAACAACCATCTCAGTGTGAGCCAGTCATAAGTAGAGGTGTCTGTATCAACAAGGTTTCATTGTATTCACCAACAAATCAGCAATGCGAGTCCGTTTGTAATAGAGGGTGTCCACAATAACAAGGTCTCAATGTTCTCACCAACCCTATCATTGTATGAGGCAGTATGTAATACAGGGTGTCCACAATAACAAGGTCTCAATGTTCTCACCAACCCTATCATTGTATGAGGCAGTATGTAATACAGGGTGTCCACAATAACAAGGTCTCATTGTTCTCACCAACACTCAACTGTATGAGCCAGTATCTAATACAGGGTGTCCACAATAACAAGGTCTCATTGTTCCCACCAACACTCAACTGTATGAGCCAGTATGTAACACAGGGTGTCCACAATAACAAGGTCTCATTGTTCCCCCCAACACTCAACTGTTTGAACCAGTATGTAACACAGGGTGTCAACACACTCTCACTGTATGAGGCAGTAAGTAAGAGAAGGTGTCCACAATAACAAGGTTCCCACTCAACACCCTCCACTAACAAGGTTCTCAACACCCTCCCACTGTACGAGCCAGTATCTAAGACAAGGTGTTCAACGACGATTCGGTCTCCATCAATGTCGTAGTGTGGTCAACTAGCAGGCATGTAGTTTGGGTCGAGGTAGTTGCTGTCAGCGAGAGAAAACTTCATGTAGTCCTGATCACCACCCAGTAGATGACACTTTCTTCTTTTCTGGCCTCAGACGATGGCTTGAGTTGTGAGTCTCTGTTTCATGGTTGCTAGGAGACAAGAAAGTTATGAGATTTTAATCTTAAGGTTTTTAAGCTATATTCTTTGGAAGAGAAGGGAAGGGGCATATACTCTCTCTGCATTTTGATGGGTTTCAGGGACCTCACCTTTTTCTTGAGGTCAAGATATTGGTGAGTGTCATTTGAGGTGAGGTGAAATTGGGTTTAACGTCGTGCTTGAGAATATTTCGCTCATTTGACGACGTGCATGCGTGTGTATGTGTATGTGCTGCTGCTTGTACTAGCCCAGACTGAAGCTGGTTTTATAGTGCTAGCCCACTGAGATACCATGCCGCAGTGAAGCATGAATACCCCACTCAGACACATTATACTGACTCCGAGCCGACCAGTCCTTGTTGTACCCATTAATGCCGAGTGCCAGGCAGGGACAACAAGTACCATATTTCAACATCTTTTGGTATGACGCGGTCAGGGATTGAACCCGCGACCTTCCGCTCTCTGGGCGGACGTTAGTGTCATTCTAGCAAAAGTAATACTTTCCATGCTTGTATCATGAAACATAAAACAAGTGCGAGTATGGTTATGCGTTGCTTGGCGGGGACACCAGAAATGGGCTTCACACAATGTACCTATGTGGGGAATCTAACCCGGGTCTCCGGCGTGACAAGCAAATGCTTCAACAACTAGGCTACCCCACCGCCCCAAAACATGAAACACTAAATGGGGTATGAATTATGCCCCTGAAACAAACCCAACCCTTATTTAACCTTATTGCCATAGAAATGCAAATTTGTTTTTAAAAACCCCCAGAAACCAACAGTTCCTTGTATACCTGATACTAATAACACAACCTTTCATGAAAAATACAGAGTTTTGATTTTGGAAATGAGTTGTGTGAGTTGATGACGAATGGACCCTGTTTCTGAGCTTTGGTGGGTGAGGATCTATTGAATACACACCAAGGTTATTGAAAAAAGACATGCTTTTACAACAGTAAAGCTACTGTGTGGTTTAGAAGGATATTTCTGTAACTTTCACCAAATCTTCTGCAAGCACATGACATATTGCAACTTTTGGCAAGTTTATTGGCCTCATATTTACTTATTTGAAAAATTAGGCTCCAAAGTTAAAGTTAAAAAGGCCAAAATGAAGCTTACAACTATCGCATGTGTTCAGACCAATTTGAAGACGTTCACAATGTTATCACTACCTGTCAACACAGTCATCGCAGAAGTCCACAGATTCGTCTTCCGGACAGTCCATACAGTGCCATCTGGTGCCAATAATCGGTTCACAACCACACATGTCACACTGGAAACAGAATGGAACAGAACAGTTGATGATGGATCAGATCTGACAAACCATTCATAGCAGGTCACTTCAGGTGATTCTTAGTGTGACAAGGCTTTTAAATTCACACGACCCGTGAAGAACCGATCTTTATTAACTCATGCTAAGATATCTACTACTGGTCAGACTTGCTGACTTGGTTGACACGTCATCATATCCCAATTGCGTAGATAGATGCTCATGCTGTTGATCACTGGGTCGTCTGGTCGACGTTTGGTGGTCAGACTTGCTGACTTAGTTGACAAGTCATCATATCCCAATTGAGTAGATCGATGCTCATGCTGTTGATCACTGTATTGTCTGATCCAGGCTGGAACATTGCTGAGTGAGGCGTAAAACTAAGCTCGCTCACTGAATATAAATTCACCATCAGATCTGATTACTGTCTCTCAAGAATGAACATAAACGGACAGTTCTGAATGGAAAATAATAAAGGTTGCACTATTATGCTGTTGTGGACCTACTCGTTTGAGAGCACCATTGAAATAATTGATACCAAAAAGGATATACTACTGAGAGTATGTTTCTGTACGGACTGAGTTTTCTTATGTTTTGGCTATAGTATGACATCAATTATTCAATCAGGGTTTGGCTTGATTTGGTCGTAACACATTGAAGAGTATCTGATATCGAAAAGGAGTTTTGTAAAACCAAAAAAGTTACCACTTACAACGAAAAATATCAAGAGTGCTTTATGCCTGTAAATACATGAGTCTGCATCGTACAAACCAGTGGTTGATAGAATGAATGCCAATTCAAACTGACACAAAAATGGCCATGTCACAACAGCACCATATGATCATCAATGAATACATATATCAGGCTCCAAAGTCCACGAAGTAAAGCAATTTGTGTTGAATGCTATTGTTGCCATGGTAACTCCCACCTTGAAGCCATCATGGTGGACTTGGACAGCTGTCTGCTGCAGTTTGTGAGCCCGTAATGACCTCAGCTTCAGCAACTCCCGATACTCCTCTGAGTGTCGCAGCTCCAGGGGGACCTCGTCATCCTCGTCCTGGCAACACGTGGGAATAACAGTGAATACACACACTTTGTCTCTGAAATACTATTGTCATCTTGAATATATACACCATGTCTTCCCAGTAATACAGTCTATACGAATATATTCACATTTCCCCACAACTACTGTCAACTTGAATATATACACCATATCTTGCCAGTATGACAGTCAATATAAATATATCCACTATGTTCCACCACTACTACTGTTGACTTTAATGTATACACCATATAATAGCAATACAGTCTATACGTTTAGAATATATTCACCATATCTCCCCACAACTACTGTCAACTTGAATATATACACCATATCTTGCCAGTATGACAGTCAATATAAATATATCCATTATGTTCCACCACTACTACTGTTGACTTTAATGTATACACCATATAATAGCAATACAGTCAATACGAATATATTCACCATATCTCCCCACAACTGTCAGCTTGTATATATAAACTATTGCTTCCAACTTATATTACCAAAACACAAATCACACCAGTTAAATATATCTTTTGTGAACACTATGGAAGAAATTAAGAGTAGTTTTAAACATAAAGCAAGCTAAACGAAATACCAAGGGAAAAAGTGAGAAGGTTTACAGGTAACTCACTGATTCATCAGAAGATAGATTTTCTCCATATTTCTCATACTTCTGCAAGAACCTGGCTTCGGACTCAGCGTCGTAGTAGGCCCGTGTGTCCTCGTCGTCTGACATGTAGACTGGGGGTGTGTAGGCCTGCATGAATGTTGATGGTTGGTAGTAGAAGCGGTTGTGGCGCTGTTGGCGGCCCAGCTGGAAGAGGAAACAACAGAATTTACAATATCACCCCCAGTTAAATTTACTATAAGGTGTAACTCTGTAAATCTTTCTGTTCCAAATACCTATATCTCCCCATCCTTCTGTTTCAAATACCTACATATCCCCACCTTTTGTTCCAAATACCTATATATGCCCATCCTTCTGTTCCCAGTACCTATATATCCCCATCCTTCTGTTACAAATACTTACCTATCCCCATCCTTCTGTTACAAATACCTACATATCCCCATCCTTCTGTTCCAAATACCTATATCTCCCCATCCTTCTGTTTCAAATACCTACATATCCCCACCCTTTTGTTCCAAATACCTATATATGCCCATCCTTCTGTTCCCAGTACCTATATATCCCCATCCTTCTGTTCCCAGTACCTATATATCCCCATCCTTCTGTTCCCAGTACCTATATATCCCCATCCTTCTGTTTCCAGTACCTATACATCCCCATCCTTCTGTTCCCAACACCTATATATCCCCACCCTTCTGTTCCAAACACCTATATATCCCCATCCTTCTGTTCCAAGCACCTACTTATCCCCATCCTTCTGTTTCAAATACCTACATATCCCCACCCTTCTGTTTCCAGTACCTATATATCCAATCCTTCTGTTCCCCGTGCCTATATATCCCCATCCTTCTGTTCCCAGTACCTATATATCGCCATCCTTCTGTTACCAGTACCTATATATCGCCATCCTTCTGTTCCAAATACCGACTGTTCCCAAATCCCCATCCTTCTGTTTCCAAATACCCTTCTGTTCCAACAAATCCCCATCCTTCTGTTCCCGGCATCTATCTCTATATATTCCCATCCTTCTGTTCCCAGTACCTATATATCCCCATCCTTCTGTTTCCAGTACCTATATATCCCCATCCTTCTGTTCCCAGCATCTATATATCCCCACCCTTCTGTTCCAAATACCTATTTATCCACATCCTTCTGTTCCAAATACCTATATATCCCCATTCTTCTGTTCCCAGTACCTATATATCCCCATCCTTCTGTTCCCAGCATCTATATATCTGCCCTTCCACCTCTTCTGTTCCAAATACCTATTTATCCACATCCTTCTGTTCAAAAATACCTATATATCCCCATTCTTCTGTTTCCAGTGTCCCAACCTATATATCCCCATCCTTCTGTTTCCAGCACCTATATATCCCCATCCTTCTGTTCCCAATGCCTATATATCCCCATCCTTCTGTTCCAAAAACCTATATATCCCCATCCTTCTGTTCCCAATGCCTATATATCCCCATCCTTCTGTTCCCAGTACCTATATATCCCCATCCTTCTGTTCCCAACGCCTATATATCCCCACCCTTCTGTTCCAAATACCTATATATCCCCATCCTTCTGTTCCCAGCACCTACATATCCTCATCCTGTTGCACCAAATACCTATATATCCCCATCCTTCTTTTCCCACTGCCTATACATTTCCACCTTTCCGTTCCAGTTCACCTACCCTCCTGTTCCATCTACCCACCCACCTGTTCCAGTCTATCCCCCCTCCTGTTCCAGGATACTGACCCTCCCAATCCAGGCTACCTACCCTCCCAATCCAGGCTACCTACCTTCCCAATCCAGTCTACCTACCTTCCCATTCCAGTCTACCTACCCTCCCAATCCAGGCTACCTACCCTCCCAATCTAGGCTACCTACCCTTCCAATCCAGGCTACCTACCCTCCCATTCCAGGCTACCTACCCTCCCAATCCAGGCTACCTACCCTCCCAATCCAGGCTACCTACCCTCCCAATCCAGGCTACCTACCCTCCCATTCCAGGCTACCTACCTTCCTGGTCCCAGTCCCAATGTTGGGGGCCCTCCCAGGTACAGGAAGTCCAGCCTTGGCCAGCTTGATGAAGTATTTCTGCACTCTGCTGGCCACCTGGGGACACAACACACATCAGTTATATGCACTACAGAGTAACAGGGTTTTACATGACGCGTGATTCCTGTGTATTTGACTCAAAAAAATTGTAAACGACTCTCAAATTATTATCATACGAGTCAAGCTTGAGTTTTATGGGTGGCCCTCACAATTCCTCCAATAAAGTAGATTTGATAAGCTAAAAATGATTTTGTTCGATGATAGTTTGACTTTTACAGAGCTGTCAGATTGCTCCAGAGAACTCAGAGGAGACAGTAATCCTGGCTGTTTGAATTGAACAATGCTGTAGTTTCATTTTGTGGTGTGACATACACAGTTACATAGTGACAATGATTAATACAAGGAAATATTAAAATTTTCATGACTCCCAAATATTGAAAATGACTCCCAAAAATAAATATTGTGAGTCACCATGACTCCCATTTTTAAAAGTCTGTGTAAAACCCTGAGTAAACCACCAATGTATTATCCTGAAAGTCCAGTGGGTGCTAACGACTAAACTGGAACATGAGAGAAACAGCAGTCCCAATGATTTTAGTTGCAGAAACACTGACAGCTGATATAAAATAACACAAAAAGATGTGAAGGTACTAGAAGGTTGTTCACAGCGTAAACTAATTAAGCTATAAGCCATCTTTCTCTTGGTTGTTTGATGTCCAGGTCACCATTTCAGCAATATTATGTCTGCCTGATAAGAACCATGCGCATTCATCACTGACACTACTCAAGAATGAAATGTCTGACACAGGGGTGGAAATAACCCATTGCCCGACCTCCAAGTCCAGTGTTTTTTTCTGTCGGGCAAGCAAATTTGTATATCACACTGTACCTGTGTCCAGTTATTTCCAATGTTAATTATGTTGTTTATTTAGAAATTCCATCACGGCAGGGGACAGCAAAATGCGTGCCCATGTGGGGATAACCCGGTCTTCGGCATGACGGTAGGTATGGTGGAAACATTATCAGGGCAAGTGATTTTACATGTGCCACTGTACCGGAGTACACTAGCAATTTTAAAGTTATTTCCACCCCTGCTGACAATGGCTGGTATCACACATATCATCTCGACAAGCAAGAACTAACAACAAAATTTAAGGTATAATTTTATCAGGGACTGAGAAAGGTCAATGGGTTATAAATAACGCCAATTATGATAAATTTTTTGTCTGATGCCGCTCTTCACCTGCTGTGTAGTGCGGTTGCCAAGAGCGACAGCGATCTTCTGCCACCTCTTGGCCTCCACCTCCTCTGGGGGGAACACCAACAACAGTTCTTCCAGCCTGCACAAGGGAGACAACTCTCAAAATAAGGGAGACAACCTAAAGTATATTGTATGCTAGTGCTGCAACGAATGCACTATGTGGTGAATATGATACGTATCATGAATATTGGGTAACGAATATGAATAATTATTCAAGAATACAATATTGTAGTTAAGTGATTGATGTACAATATGGAACGCTCATGTTGACAGTTTTGATTTGTCACAGCAATAACCAGTGATCTCATGACACTCAAATTTGGTATGTAATAGTTATAATCGACAGTACCATGTGCAGTCTTGGCAAACTAACATGACTTGCGCTACTGCAATGCTAGTACATGTTCCATTCTTGCATATCTCACTTTGGAAAAGGACATAAGGGTTCAAGTAAAACATGCTATCTTAAAACAATCGTAAATATTCGGTTCTGGTGACCACGAATAATGAATTGAATTCATGAAGGGCTACGGTTCGATCCATTGAATATGCGAGTGAATCGTTACAGCCTTATTGTATGCAATTCAACAGTTATTCAGCTCTGTCTAAAACTCAGGGTTTTACGCAATGCACAAATGTGAGTCCAATATGCACAATTGTGGAGAAGCGATTCAGAAATACAAAAGTACTGCGTCATGAGGCACGCACAACATTACTGACAGCATACCTACAGTACACCAAGAGTAGTTTTGGGTGTCTGTTATTTCATCCATCAATCATGGCAACTATCCACATGATCACTGTTTCATTACAGGCACTGAAGTACTTCTCTAAACCTTTATATCAATTTATTCATGGGGGTGCCCTGGACCCCCCACTTTTGTAAGTCAAGGTAAAACCCTGTAAACAATTTGTTTCACCATTGTTAATTACTATTACTGCAATGAAGGAATAATACAGATATCAGAGTGAGTAAGTTAGTGTAGTTTTACGCCGCACTCAGATATATTACAGTATATGGCTGCAGTCTGTAAATAATCGAGTCTGGACCAGACAATCCTGTGATCAACAGCATGAGCATCAATCTGAGCAACTGGGAACCGATGACATGTGTTAACCAAGTCAGCGAGTCTGACCACCCGATCCCATTAGTCACCTCTTCAGACAAGCAAAAAAAAATCTGTAATATGAACATTCCACTCGTCCTTCTAAAATTGTACTTGCCCTATAGATCATGCAACACAATGAATGTAAATTAAATTATTTAATTTCAAAACGTTTGCTTGGAATAAAACTAAACTAAACATTACTTACTTTGTCTTCTGTACAAAATGTTTGTTCAATCTAATTTTCAGTTTAGTGTATGTGGTAAAACATATCAAGGATTTTATCTTACCTGGAAATTACCTATGTATAATCATAAAAACAAATCATCACCCAAAAGAAAAGTTGACTACGATAAACGATCGGTAATAACAAGCAGGCAATTCCTTATTATAAAGCTTATTCTGATTCGACAGCAGTAACATTCATGTTGTGATGATATTTCTCATTGGTCAGTTTATTATTAGCAGCCAATCAAGAAATTCGAAGCATTTAGGTTACAAAACGAGGCTGCATGATATCTGTTTAAAATGGATACCAAACGCACATCAAGACTTAAACTTTTTGGTCAGTTTTCGGGGAATTTGAAAATACTGCTAATCAGGAATGACGATGTTAAAACTTAAAGGTCACATGCACCGTAAAACACAACTTTGCAGATTCTGATACCTTTCGGTATGGACTTACCGAAAAAAATCATCAAAAATGAAAAATTAAACTTATAAAGTTGAAAAATAGCGCAATGAAAAAACCTGCGTGAAATCGGAGTTCAAATGATTCACTAATTTTCCCCCAGAGCTTGGGGGAAAAGTAGTTTCAACAGCTAGGCTGCGCTGGGCTGCGCTCATTGCACATGCGCAGTGAAATAGGTTCACACAGCTTGGAAGCAGGTTGTCCGGTGAATACTCGGTGAAGGCTTTGGTGTGAGCTATTTTTCTAATGTTTTGTTGATATTTCACAGGCGTGAGCATTTTATATGTTATGACAGTAGATTACCGGTTTAACTGTTTATACAATTTCATTTGTCTATTTCACCACACGTTCTTCTTACCGAGTCACTTTCTCAGTTCGATACTTAAAAGCAATGTCATTATTTAGCGTTGACAGAATTTCTAACTGTGATATAGATATGTCGTCACAGACAAAACTCAATGTCTGTTTTATTGACACCTATGTGTCTGCCTGCCTGTCTGCTAATGACAATATTCAATACACAACTTCGATCACTGACCACATGCAATTTGAACTTAACACCTATCAGGCTATACACCATAAACACAATGCATTGATTTATGGCCCGAGTTCGGTCTCTGTCACATTATGTAATTACACAGACAGGCAGGTGTGATACTTGTACGCATGACATGTTATGATGTCTGTTGATTGCAAAATGTTATACACAAAAAATGAGCATGTATTTACAAAACCCAACATCTCTATATATACACACACAATAAGCCGTAAGGGCATCTGCAAATGAACCAGCCATTACACTTGAGTGCACACCCACCCGCTCTGACTGGGCTCGGTATCCCGGCTGCTTCGTTTGTTGGGAAGTAAACCCAAGTACAAAATATTTGCACTTTTGATTTGCGATTGTACACTTATAATTTTGTTTATATGTTTTTTCATGATCAGCAATGTATATTATATGTCATAAGTGATTATTGTGTTTTACTTATGTTTGATTTTTTGGTTGCATGTGACCTTTAAACTTTTTGTTTTGAAAAATAGTTGGGTCAGAAAATGTACTTGTCTTCTAGGACGAGCAAATTATGTTTTTCACTTGCCCAAAACAAATGTCACTCGTCAATACGAGCGGACGAGTGGAATTTTCGAGCCCTGAGCATGGGTTACTGAAGATCAATTCTAACTCGGATCTTCATGGGTATCAGATATCAGAATGAGACACACCAGTCTCTAAACATATACTACCCAAAAGAAGTCTGGACAACCTGATTTTTTCATACAACAATAGTAAATTGGAGCATGACAGATCAACTGAAGTAGAATGAAAGAATGAAAATCTTTTGAGTAGAATGAACATACATACAAACATTCATCCACTTACAACAATCTGGTATTTAAGACTTGGCTAATTAAATACTAAAACCCAGAAAGAGCAAGTTGTGAAAGTGTAAACCTTTTCATGTAACCGAAGAGCAATGTTTGTTTGTTGCTTAACACCGTACTCAGCTATATTCCAGCTATATGGCGGCAGTCTTTAAATAATCAAGTCTGGTCCAGTGATCAACAGCATGAGCATCGATCAACGCAATTTGGATGCGATTACATGTCCACCTTGCCTGACCACCTGATCCATTTAGTCGCCTCTTACGACAAGCATGGGTTGCTGAAGACCAATTCTAACCCAAATATAGTGCATCAGTGGAAGGTGGTGAAACTGCTTGGGCCACATGTGTCAATCTTACCTCTTCTGTTCCTCAACAGTCCACAGCTGGTTAAAGGTTGCAGGTTTGGATTCTGTTTTCAAGCGACCTCGGACAACTGTAACCTCATTCTGATCGTCAAACAGTGATACCGACTGGGGACCCCGTGCTGTCTTCTCCCTATCTAGTACAGGATCTGACAACATACAAACAAAGTCTCTACTACAGGTGGGTGGTCATCCGACAAAGACGTTACATCAACCAAAGTAACCTGGGGGGCGGTCGACAATGACTTTGTCTCACCGCCCACCTAAGTATATTATTATAAGGTATGTGTTATGCTTAAATGTTTTGGAAGTGTGGTGGTGTAGCCAAGTGGTTAAAGCGTTCATTCGTCACGCCGCCGAAGACCTGGGTTTGATTCCCCACACAATGGACACGATGTGTGAAGCCCATTTCTGGTGTCCCGCCGTGATATTGCCGGAATATTGCTGGCGTAAAACTAAACTCACACTGCTACAGATTCCGCCAATCAACAGTCTCTACAACAGATTATTTGCAACAGGCTTAAGAATTTATACATTCTCTACCCAATGGACTGTGAAAAGCACATCATGCCGGGGCTTAACCTAGCTCCTAATGTTATTTTTGCTCAAAGACAAACTTCAAATAAATAGTCTTTTCACGACCAAAATTATTCAACATGGTCCATGGATAATTATTCATTAACACGTCATATCTCACATGATACTGAGTGAGTGAGTATGATTTTACGTTGCTTTTAGCAATATTCGAGCAATATAATGGCGGACACCAGAAATGGGCTTGACACATTTTCACATGATAACAAATGAAAATATATACCGGTACACCTACATAAGAAATATCACGTGGATGTTCGCGGAGAAAAATGCTTGTTTGAGTTGAATGACAATGTCAACAATATACCACCTACGTTTCTGCAGCCCGTAAATTATTCGAGCAAGGGTAGTATCGATATTTATAAAATAACAACTGTTCCAGCTAAAAGCTGAGCAAGATCTACTTGCAGGTACATACCTTCCAGTTCTGTGAGCAGTTTCTTCTGTCGGGTCATGTGACGTGGGACACCGAAGGAAGTGAAGTCCACATTACTGCGATACTTCTCCCAGTCGATGTTCGGCACCTGTGCAATCTCCTGCTGCTGAGGAAAATTGAACTTCACGCCCTGCTGTAACTTTTCCACAAATTTGATTGGATCCTTGAGAGCCTCCTCCTGGGCCTCTTGTAGAGCCTCCATATCCTTTATTGCCTGGCTACGCTGAGCCTCCAACTTTGTGATTGTTTTCAGCAGCTCTCGGTAGTCTGAGTTGCCCTTCAGTGCAGCGTCGATCGGACTCGAACATATAGCAGCTGTCTTCTTCCTCCATCCTAACATCGGTGTTGTCATGGTTACTGCTTTCTATGTCAGTATCCATTGTAGTGGGATCTGCTCTATTTATAGTAGAGATGACCTAGCCTAAACCAAGAAGATATATTAGGGACAGAACAATTTTCTACATACATGTCCACTGTATTGCAATATGGTTATTTTCATCAGTTTTTAACCGGACTTGTTTCCAACTCTCCTACAACTCCTCATCTGAAGAATATTCAATATTTATTGTTTACCTGCATCTCTGTCGTCAAATATCTACAACTAGAGGCTTGAATCTGTAAATGGGTTTTGTCTGGACCAGACAATCCAGTGATCAACAGCATGAGCATGATATTGAAATTGGGAACTGATGACAAATTGGGTTTAACGTCGTGCTGGAGAATATGACCACCCATATCCTGTGCATGCGTGCCTATGTGTATGGCAAGCACATGCTTGTACTAGCTGGTTTTATTGCTATCCCACTGAGATACTTCACGTGGTCCTCCTCATCTGAAGAATATTCAAACATTTATTGACTACCTGCATCTCAGTCCTATGTTGTAAATGTTAAAAACATTGTTGGACCAACAAGTACCATATTTTAATGTCTTTTGGTATGACATGGTCGGGGATCGAACCCTTTTGGGTTTTGTCTCTCTGGACATGTGCCCTCTAACCACTACACCAGACAGGCGGTCTGTTATTGAGGGGAGATAATCATAAAAGACAAAAGGTCAATGATAGCCTCTAACCAAAAAACAATCAGATAATTTCCGTTACATATTAGGATCAGGGATCTGTCAGGAAAACATTGTGGGATATTCCGTTGGTCTGTGTGGTGACATGTTGATACAAAACTGATCTATAAGAAGCAGCAGAGAGACATGGTAACCACAACTATAGAAGATTGTGTATAGTTACAATATGCTAAAGTATATTTCACATGCATTATGCTTGTCAGTCGCTGATGAGACTTCATTGATCAATGCTCATGCTGTTGATCACTGAATTGTCTGGTCCAGACTCGATTATTTACAGACTGCTGGCAAATAGCTGGAATATTGCTGTGTGCGGCGTTGACATTGACAGACTCAGTAGGAAATTGCTGACCTAAGGCTTGTAATATATTGGGAAGACCCTCCCCGTGTCCGTGAATATATACTCATGGAAACGAATAAGGGAACACATGAAAGTACAAGTGTTCCTGTATTCTTTTTCAGGTTTCTTCACAAGGTATGTATTGCACTGTGAGTGAAATTATGGAAATAGATAAAGCCTTGGGTATATTTCATGACCCTCCCTTAAAAACCCAAAATATAAAACCGGTTCGTACTTTGTTACAGATATTTTCTTTTGTAAAATATCAGCTGTTGACACCTGGGTGACCTGGCAGACAGTCCCACACCACCCAATAGTCATTATGTTTATGACTCTAACCCACCAGCCCACACCCCAGTATTTATCGAAGCTCTTCTGTCCGTGTCACACAATCACATCTACATAAAGACATGCTGGTTACCTCCAGTCGACTTTATCCAACCAAACTATCAACCCGCTCCTGCCATTTAACACGGAAATGTGCCTTTACACATGCGCACAGCGAACACCGCTCAGCGGAAGTTGCACGTGTTCTGGGGTTGGGTTTGTTTACGTTTTTCGGCTCAAGAAGGAGTAATATTTGTTCTTGTTTCAGCAGAGACCATATAATAGATTATATATTATATGGTCTCTGGTTTCAGTATGGGCATCCTTGTAGTTATGTTGTAGTAGTGACTTAATTTAGATAATTCACTTGTTTTGTCTTGATAGCGTTTCGTTTTCGCTGTAATTGTAACACTAATGATTTCAGATACTGGACGATCCTTATCCACGTAGATTTGAATAATTATAATAATACCCGAAGGAAATGGCTAACTCGCACCCCAAATTCACGTCAGATTCGTATCCATTTTTGACAACTCGTAGTTGGCCCGTACCCAAATTTGAGCTGAGTGTAACCGGAGCGGAAAAACTTGCACACATCCATTCATTCATTACAGTGATAGAATATAATATTAAATGATCCATGCCAATATTTAAGCAGGGATACTCTACAATACTCCTTATATAGTCTCCCTGATTTAAGTAATTAGTCAACCTATTTTTATTTAATATTACATACATTTAGTTTACTCAAAGAGACAATATAAACATACTGTACGTATTATTTCAATACAATACAATATACAGATAATGGATAATTAACTTACTTTATTTTTTATCCCATCTCGTCCCGTTGCTGACCTGAGCAGTTCTGTGATGTCCTGATAGATTTTTAGGGTGAACAAAACATGCAGTTTGACAATAGGTGTTAGCTTGGGACAATAGAGAGTGTCACAGATATATAGATACAGTGGTTTGGTTCTGACTGATCAAACTTAACGAAGTGACAGCTAATTATTTATAAGGAAAGTTTCCTCTGTTCCCCATATCTTTTTTGTAACATTACCGTGCCTAGGGCTCTTGTCATACAACGTGGTTCGACCCTATATATTGGAGGAACTCTTACCATTTACAAGAAATATATGTAAAATATTTGGATTTTAAAGAAATATAGACAAATAACTACATCCGCCAAAAATATGATCGTGGTCGCTATTTTACAGTAATTTCATTAAGTCATAACTTAAGAATTTGACATCCATAAAACACTCTTTATTATGTGTATCACGTACGAGTAGGTACGGGTTGTCAATATTTGGGTACGAGTCACACACACCAAAAAAAAAGAAAAGAAAAAAGTGTTTGGTTGCCAACCTTGTACACGAACAGATATAATTTCTTCTCTGTTTAGACCTTATTGAAGAGCTCACATATTCCAACATGTAAACATAAGCACATGTGGTATTTTGCAGTTGATTTGCAAGTGACAGACAGGCGCGTAGCTAGCCATTTTTTTCGTGGAAGCCCGATAGGTTGCAAAGCATTATATTTAGCTAGTTTTGAGGGCTTGCCCAGCCCTTTTAGCAACAACCATGTGTAAGTCCGGGCTTTTTTTAATAATGGTAGCTACGCCCCTGGTGTCAGATATAAAGTAACTGAAAATGAACTCGAAACATACCTCAAACATTGGAGAGGAGACGCGAACACGGTTAAAGGTAACTGAAGCATTCATAAAATATCTCTACACTGCATGTTTCTCTTATACATTGACCGCACTAGGCCTGGATCAGTTTGAAACGCTGTCCCTGACTATGGGAAAGAAATGTGGCACTATCCTTTGTCAGGTTAAACAAGAGTGATGTTACCACTATAGTCTGTTTGCATTGAAAACGTACCGATGAATGCCAATTTAAACAAAAAAGTAAATCCAATAAGATGAAGTTAAGATTGCGAATCCTCATAATTTTACCTTGCCAACTGACCATTTAAATCTCAGAATTTTATTCAACTTGGGATAAAAGTTGTTTAACAAACGATCATAGTTTCAAATCGCTATTATTGGTTTGTATTACAAGGGTGTATGCACATTAAATGAAACACCGAGAACAAGTAGGGTTGGTCTAAGTTAACGCTCATCACGAACCGCACGTGCATTTGTTTCACTGTTCCATCTACTGCGCTCACCCCCTTGTAATACAAACCAAGGTAAGAGTTCCTCCCGTTCCCCCATCCCAAATAATATTTATAAATATACTAAAATTATTAACAAATATTAACACAACAATTACTAGAGAACTCACAAAATGACTAAAAGTCCAAAATTTAAGTTAGGTTTAGTGTTAGGTTTTAGGGTTAGGTTTAGAGTTAGGTTTAGGGTTGGGGGAACGGAAGGAACTCTTTCCCAAACCAATAATAGCGTTTTGAATGTATGATCGTTTGTTAAACAACTTTTGTCCTACAATGAATAAAATTCTGAGTTTTAAATGTTCAGTTGGCAAGGCAAATTTATGAGGATTCGCAGTCTTAATTTCACTTTATTTGATTTACTTTTTGCTTAAAGTGAAATTCATCGGTACGTTTTCACTGCAAACAGACTATACTAGCAATATATTCATTAACTGAGCCTTATGACAATGCATGATTTCAGAGGTGCGGAGCTATACCATGAAACATGAATGACACCAAGGTTGTAGTAATTGTACTAAATTCAGGTTCGTTGCCTGACAAATGAAGGTCGTTGCAGTTTTGAGTATATACTAGTAAACTGAACTTCACTGTTGAAAATGAAAGAATGAGTATGGTTTTACACCGCTTTTAGCAATATTCCTGTAACATCACGGTGTGGGACACGACAAATGGGCTTCACACATTGTACCCATGTGGGGAATCGAACTCGGGTCTTCGGCGTTACGCGCGGACGCTTCAACCATGAGGCTACCCAAGCAGCCCGTGTGCATATTTGATCAAGGACTTAAGAGTACACACATATTGGCTTGATTTGTTTATGTTCATTATACCCCCTGGGGTGATGCTGTTTTAAATTGTAAATAATATTTGTAATGCTAAAATGTGTATTAAAATTGCTCTGAGATATACTCATGCCAATAATGGTTGTCACGCCGTTCAATTTTTTTATTGGAGAAGGGGTGTGGGGTGTGTGTGGGGTTGGGGTGGGGAGAGGGGTGACAACCATTATTGGCATGAGTATACATGTTCGTGTTTATAATGGACGCGTGTGAATGTGTAAACTTGGCCTCGTCGCTATCTGGCTGAACTAATGCCGATGCGACAATAATTTTTAACCCACTCACTCCATTGTGGCAACTTACTGGCTAGACTAACAACTAGTCTCTGAAATGAACATATTTTACAGAAAAAAAGCTCAAAGTGAAAAAAATAAAATATAATGAAAAGGAGCCCTGAGACTTTCTTCATTGGTAATCTAGACTTGCCACATTTTCTAGTCTTGCGTGGGATTTCTTGGCTATATTTATTTCAGGGTCTGTATGACAGACTACTTACTGGCAAGATAACATATTTGTCTGCGTATGTGTACATATGTCTGTATGCGTGTCACGGGCTGTAATTAGTTGTGCTCCCTTCTGCAATAGTATCTGCAGCGGACGTAAATTGCCTTTAGGCTTGGTTGGTTGTTTAACGCAGCACCCGGCAATACT